ATGTCATTTCAATTCTCCTTCTGAGTCCTTCCATGGAGTCGATCGTTTCTGTTATTTTAGTATTAAGCTCCAGAATTTGTAACTGTTTATTTTTTTTTTAAGATTTCTGTTTGTTTGCTTGCTTGATTATTTACACTGGCAGCCTGAAAGAACAGGTATATTTAGATCAGACCTGAAGAACAGCAGCACTGACACCAGGAGCAAGGGGCTTGTGATACACAGTGCTTCCTTGTAGGTTTGTTTTCTTCAGATGTTTGCATCCACCACCTGAAGCTTTAGAAGACCTCTCCATGATAGATGCAGGTCAAGGTCACACATTAAAATCTGCCCATGCTGGCTTTCTGCTGAGGTATAAGTCTCTAAATTAAACTAACTGTTTTAGGAAGACCCGCAAAGACTCTTTTCATCCTAGAAGAATGAGGGTAGTGCCATCTGGTACCCACTAACTTAAAGTCCTGAAACCAGAGAGTGAGGCCCCATTTCGGCTGCACCTCATCTTTCACTAGTTGCTGTGAGAGAAAATACTTTTTCTTGGTTTTTAAATATGAAATGATGTAGTTTGTGGTCTGAAAGAGAAAACAGTAGATCCTGTAAGGCGAGCCGTCAACTGGACTGTGTGAAAAATTGGTGAATTTGCTGTACTATTGCTTGTCCAATGACTTGTTCCAGTTTTTGGATGGATGCATTACTTAGTTGTTGGATACTTGGGAATTTCTGAAGCAGAAGGGGAGCTTTAACTTTTCAAACTCCTGGGGATCTGCTGCACAGTTTTAAAGAGGGATGGCTCAGAGAGCAGAGCATGTGTCTTCCTGTGAAAAGTGTTTTTATTGGGCTCTTTGGTTTGTTCTTGGACTAACTGGATAATGAGGTAGGATGCTTCCATCTGGCTGGCCAATGGAAGCAACACCATCCCAAGGCCCAGCACAGTAAACTGTACAGCTGGGAAGTATTGTTCACACATCCGTGTCTTTTCAACTAGTACAGTCCCTTGAAGATTACTGGAATTTCTAACCTGAACAAGCCTCTTCCTGTAGCCGTTTCCTGCCACCAGATCAGCTTCAGTGATAGAAAGAATATAGGATATATTAGACAAATAAAAATCTACCTATGTCAGGCAATCCTCAAAAACGAGTTTAGTTTTCCTTTGCATCTCCTGCACCAGCTGCGACCCACACCATTTCTCACTGACCATAATGTACCCAAAAGGCAAGTGTATGAGGCCTGTGTCATCAGGGGGATCCCATCTCTTTATAGGCTTTGTAATTATCTGTTTTCTTTGGGTCTTTTTTTTTGCAGGAAATTACCTTCTTCCCTTTCTCTTTAGATTGTTTTTCTTCGTTTGTATTATAATTATTGTTTTATATTATTGGAGAAAGTATTTCTCTGTTTCTACTCCAGCCTCCTTGTCTCAAAACATTTGTTATTGTTTCTTTGCTATTCTTCCTTTCCAGGGTTGCCAGCTGTCACTGTTTTGCAAGTAGGTTCCCTTGTAGCTTCTGCCTGTGATTCACTGGAACTTCCATCTGAATAGTACTCACTATCCCAAGTCTGATTACTCCAGTGTCCTGGCCTCCTGTGCGTCAGCCTCACCTCTGTCTCAGGGGTGTCTGTTCATGTATGGTGTTTGGCATTACACCCTGGGTCAGTTTCCTAGACTTATTTCTGTTGAGCTGGAAAGGTGGAGGCTCTCTTGTCATTGTGCCCAGGAAATCTGCTTATGGTTTCAGAGTTATGAGTTGGCTGGGCGTGGTTTTCTGTTGCAGGTGGTGGGCTGGATCTGATTCCCATGGATGGGGCCTGTAGCATTGGGTGTGGGACCCTTCTTGCAGTGTGTTGTGCAGCACTGGAGGTGGTACCCTTCCATACAGCACAGTAAGGCACATTGTGCAAAGGGGCTGGTCCCTTGCCTTGGTGAGGCATGTGGTATTGGGGGAGGGGGAGGTGCAGGGGGTGGGGCCTTTACCACAGCAAGTTTTGTGGCATGGGCGCTGGGGCAGGGCCCTTGCTGTGATGTGGCACATAATCCTGGACTGGTTCTCCAGGGTTAGGTGGGGAGGGTGTGGTTGAGTGTTTATTCATAATTCCCAAATTGGAAGCAATCAAGATTTCCTTTAATAGATGAATGGATAAACTGCGGTACATCCATGTGATGGAATATTATTCAGTGATAAAAAGAAATGAGCTATTAAGTTATAAAAAGACACAGAGGAACCTTAAGTGCATGTTGCTAAGTGAAAGAAGCTAGTCTGAAAAGGCTACATATTGTTTGATTCCATCTATATGACATTCTGGAAAAAGGCAAGACTATACATACAGTAAGGAGCCCTGGTGGCGCAGGGGTTAAGCACTTGGCTGCTAACCGAAAGGTCAGTGGTTCGAACCCACCAGCTGCTCCATGGGGGAAAGATGTGGCAGTCTGCTTCAGTAAATATTACAGCCTTGGAAACCCTATGGGTAGTTCTACTCTGTCCTACAGTGTAGCTATGAGTTAGAGTTGACTCAATGGTAGTGGGTTTGGTTTTTTTATTATACACACAGTAAAAAGATCAGTGGCTGCCAGGTGTTTTGGGGGAGGTAGCTGTGAGGTGTGGAAGCCCTTTGGCGTGAACAGTTTGGACTTTGGTCCTAGTTCCTGAGAGCCGGACCCCACCTGAGGCCAGTGAGTGGGGGCTGAGCAGACCAGGAGAGATTACCTGGGGCCTGATGCTGACTAAGCCTCAGGAGGCATGATGTAATCTATCATGGCCACATGGTGAGGCCAATAAAGGCCTTGGTGGATGGAGGCTCAGTGGCTCCTCCTGGGTGGAGAGAACAAATACTTGTTCTTGGGAGGGTAAGCATTATCCCTTGGGGACATGTGCCAAGACCCCTCCCAGACCTCACCCTCTGTTTTTATCCTTTTTTTTGGCTAGATTAAAGATAGCCCTTTCCCTGGAGTTTGTGAGTCATTTCAATGGATTATGGGACCTAAGAAACAAAGAAGCGGTCGGTACCTGCTGACCTAGCCCTGGGTGAATGGGGATGAGATAGAGATGGGGCTAGTATCTGCTGACCTAGCCCTGGGTGAATGGGGATGAAACAGAAAGGGCTGCTTGGAACAGCTGGGGTCTGATTTGACCAGGAACGGGAATGAAAGAGAAAGGGCTATGTGGAACAGCTGGGGTCTGGTCCGACCAGGAACAGGAAGCTGACATTTCTCTGGACTGGTTTGATACAATTGGTGTAGCAAGCAGGGTTAGCTAGGGAAAACCCTGACTGCTCAGAGTAAAAGAGGAAGGGATGAGTAGGTGGTGCACAGGGGATTTTCAGGGCAATGAAACTATTCTGTATGATATTGTAATGGTGGACACATGACAGGCATTTGTCAAAACCCCTAGAACTAACTATACAATAGAAAGAGTGAACCTTAATGTAATCTATGGACTTTAGTTAATAATAATGTATCAATATTGGTCCATCAGTTTTAAGAAATGTTAAGATAAAAGGAGAAAGTACAGGAGGAGAGGGGTATATGGGAACTGTTGCTTTATGATCAATGTTGTAAACCTAAAATTGCTCTAAAGAATAAAATCTATAATTAAATGAAAAAATAGAAATGTTGTATTTCTAATCTCCATTTGCTGCCTTCCTTATTTTGTACAGTATTTGATTGAACAAAGTTTTAATACATTAAAGCAACTTGGTTATTTCCTTGGAATTCGTTTTAGTTGTATGATTTCTCTGCATAGCCAGATGTATCAAACACAGGTATCTACCAGTAAATGGCTTCTTTCATTGTGAAACTATTGTTTTGCTAAGACTCATTTCATTTATATCAAGCTACTTGACTACTGCATGTCATTCGTCAGATTTTTCTAGTTAATTTTCCAGGAATTATGATAATCAGATATTAATATTTCCTTTGCCCTGTTTTCTTGGCGTCCCTTTTCGGCCTACCTTCTTGACGTCTAAGTTAAGGATGAGTAAATGCTTTGAAGGTAGCTCTGGTGGCACAGTGGTTAAGCGCTCAGCTGCTAACTGAAAGGTTGGCAGTTTGAACCCACCAGCCGCTCTGTGGGATAAAGATGTGATAGTCTGCTTCCATAAAGATTATAGCCTTGGAAACCCAAGGAGGCAGTTCTACTCTGTCCTATGGGGTCACTATGAGTTGAAATTGACTTGACAGCACACAACAACAACAAACTCGTTGAGGGCATTAGTGGTTCATTGGTAGAATTCTCACTTTCCATGTGGGAAACCTGGGTTCGATTCCCAGCTAATGCACCTCAAGCACAGCCACCGCCCATCTGTCAGTGTAGATTTGTGTGTTGCTGTGATGTTGAACAGGCTTTAGCTGAGCTTTCAGACTAAGACAAACTAGGAAGAAAGGCGTGGTGATTTACTTCTGAAAAACAGCCCATGTAAACACTATGGATCATGACAGTCCAATCCCGTTTTGCAGTGGATTGCCGTGTGTCAGTGGTCAACTCGATGGCCGCTGACAATAATAAACTGTTTCTTTGAGTCCTGAGTATTCTATCAGCGAGAGTAAGCCATGCTAGCAAGTATGACTGTAAGCCTAAGGCATGGGCAGAGAAGAAGATAAAATAGGAAGAGAAGAGAGAAAATACAAGGGAAAAGTAAAACAGGAAAAAAAGGTCATAAAAGATTACGATTGTTGTAACAACATGGTAAATGTAATTATTGTCACTGAATTGTACTCTTAAAAGTGGTTAAAATGGCAATTTTTAAATATCTTTTACCACCATAAAATATAAAAAAAAAAAAATAGAGAAACATCATAGGTTGGAGAGTATCGTTTTACGGTGGTTGATTTAAATGTCAAGTTATTCATTCCTTGATTTTCTATAGCATCTTCCAATAGCTATATCATGTAGTGAAATTAGGGTCTGAATATATGTGTAGTTTCAGTTTATTTTATCATTACATTTTTCTTCATGTTTTTTTTGCCCCTCCAGTTTCTTACTGGGTACAAATTGAAAATTCTTACTTCATTTCAGGGCATGCAGTGTCATCTCCAAGCTTTGTTGTCCCTATATAAGTTCTTTGTACCTACTTTGATTTCTGTATCTTTGCCTGTGAGGAAGAAGGTAAGGAAGTAAAGACATAAGTCATATTGAGGCTGAAATATGTTACTTTTGATAAAATTAATTTACATACTTAGACTGAACTATTTATAGTTTTAAGATCTAGTATTTTGCCACTGCTTGTGGAAAGTTTTTGGGGGATTGGCACTTTGTTTTGATTCTATTTGATATATTTAATGGATTTCTGATCAGAAAAAAAAACACTTTAGTTGGATTTGAATGGATGCAAAATACTTCATAGTTAATATATTTCAATTAATGAAGAGTTTTAGATTTTTATGTTGCTCTAACTTATGGATACCTCTCTCATGTACTGTACATCCAAATTTATAGATCTACTTTAAGAGTTCAGAGAATTTATGGCGGACAGCTCTGATTGCTGTGAGGCAAAGAAACATGGGACCTTCTCCAATATCTCTAAAGCTGATGTTAGGTTCAGCTAAAGTGCGTCCTGTAAAAAGAGTGAGTATTTAAAACTCCAAAGACTTTTGTCACCTTCTTTTATTGAATCCAAATAATAGCCATTCAGATGTTGGAGGAGAGTAGATATTTAAATACCTTTTAATTATCCAGGATTTCACGTAAACCACATTCAGACTCCATTAGTTAAACCACCTTAACAAGTGCTTCTGCATTTATAGTTTATAGTCTATTTAGTCTGCTGATTGTTTTATTATCTCTTTTCTTTAGAAATGGACTTCTAATTCAATTATACCAGTGCCAAACTCCAGTAGCTATGGCAGAGAATATGGAAAGAAACAGATGAGTCTTTCTGATTGCCTCAGTAACAATGGATCATTTCCACTAGAACAGCTTCATAGCTTCCATCAACTCTTAGAAAACATCCATTGCTTAGAGGTATGTGACTGAACCACGTGCTTTTTCCATTTGGTCTTCATGGCCTTTATTTGTCTTATATATTTTCTATATAATAATTTCCTTGTTACCCTGACTCACTTTTCATATACTTAGAGTTGATCAGTTGTTCTGTCTTTGCAGCTGCCTTGTCAGATGGGCTCAGTGCTAAACAGTTCTCTGCTACTTCACTATATTAACTGTGTTAGAGATGAGTCAGTCTTACTGAGATTGTATCACTGGTTGAGTCAAACATTACAAGAAGGTAAGAATTGCCTACTTAAAAGCATTAGATGAATGAGAAAGGAACAGGGTAGTTTATAGATTGGTTTATTTCATAAGGATGCCAAATTCTAGATAGGAAGACCCTTCATATGCTGTAGTTTTTTCTCTAGTAATCATATATTTAGAGCATGAATGCTTCCTTTACTGGAATTTTAAAGGGCAGCAAGAAAGGAGGTGTGTTGTTTTGGCCTCCAAAACTTTCACTAGGTGGCTCTACTTTGATGAGGGTCACAATTAAAGGCCTCTCCATCTTTGTATGTCTAGAAACTTGCCTGTAAGTACCAAAGTCCATCAGATTAATGCTAACCAAACTCACAAGAGACTAATGTATAAGCCAGAATGTCAGCTTATTATTTATAATAGAAGTAACTCTTTCTGGTGTCCGAAATGTTCGTGTTTGCCAACTAGAGCATCCCCTCCCTGCTACCTGTATATGTAGGAGCTCAATTAGAAGACTTCTTAATAATAGAATTAAAGGAAAGGGCAGTGAAGAGTGTTTCATGCAGGACATAGTAAAGCCTCATCATCACATTCCTCCAAGGGAGTTTCTCTAGAGATGGTATTCTGTTGACCAGACAGACTGTTTCTTCCCTGAATAAACAACTCCTGACTCTTTAAAGTATGTAAATTCAGTTTTAGTCAGTCCCAGGCTAACTCCTTTTCCCACTCAGTCTTTCTTTAGTTAGGATATGATACAATTTATTAAGTTCCCATTTTTTAAATTCTAATATTGTCTAGTCCTACCACTGTCAGATGACACCCAGCTCACCCTAATTGAAGTTTGGGCTAGTCTCAAACTTTTTTTTTTATTGTTACAAAATATTCTCAAACTTTTAATTCACACATTTATAGTCTCTTGGATTACTATGTGACAAAAGGCTAATCGCATTCATTATATGTGAATTTTATTAGTTTATTTTTTCACTATAACATCTCACTGTCACCTCCACATACCTATTAGCCATCTACACTATGAGTTGGTTAGGATGTGTGAGCTTGTTTATATTTGTCATTTTAGAGTACCGGTAATTATGTTTCCTGTAGTTTTCATTGTTGTACAACCAACTGCTTATGTTTAATATTTCTGCTCTAGAATGTATTTGGTACAAGGTGAATAATTATGAATATGGAAAAGAATTTACCAACTTACTGGACTCTATCATCAGGGCACAGTGCTTCTTACAAGTAAGATTCCGCTTGTTTCCAACAGACAGTACCATTCTTTACTAAAATTTACTTAGATGTCCATTGTAAACCTTTTCTTTAGTGCTGTGACATCTTTTGTAAATGATATTTACTCAATTTGAAACTCATAAATAGAGCTGAGTTCTACTTTTTACTTTGTAGTGTCGGGTTTGAAGAAAGAATTTGTTAAATTATGCAAATAAGAGAGCAAGGTCTAATTTAAGAGAACTGAAGATGCAATTCAATTAATTTGAATTAGTTAAATAAATCTCATAGGGTCACTACTTGAACAACAAACATTTTTTGAATGCTTTATGTGTTATAGCCACTGTACCATTTGGCCTGGGTAACCCTGAGTTGTGCTTTAAGCTGGAGCTCTGGTATCAGCACCTTCAAGAAGCTCTCACTCAGCACCTGAGTCTGGGTTAGCCACTTGTCCTGTGTGCTGCCATAGCTCTCAGTGCTTCCCTCTGTCATGGCACTTTCAGCATCTGTTTTTCCACACATGAGCTCCTGGCAGGCAGGAACCATGTCTTAATTTTTCTTCATGTACGGGTATTCAGCTTGGTGCCTGGCACAAAATTGATGTTTAATAAATGTTAAATAAATCTTAAGGAGTTGGTGTGAAACCATTGAGTTGGAAGTTGTGTGTGGATGATGGTAACAAGGGTGAAGGGAAGAATCTTGCTTGGGAGGATGATAGTGGCATTCACTGAGAAAGGGAATATAGGAGGAGAAGGCTTGGAAGGGAAGGTAAGTTTTATTTAAAATATGTTGATTTTGAGATGGCTGTGAGACATCTAATAGGTGATAATATCCAGTTGGCAGTTAGATAAATGAGTCTAGAGCTCAAAAATGAGATTTCGGTTAGAAATCGAGATTTAGGACTCCACATGATATAAGTGGTAGTTTTAGCTATGGTATGGATGGGATTGTTCCAGAAAATTTATGTCATGAAAGAAGGTCTAGGACAGAGTCCTGGTATGCACCACTATTTAAAGTTTAGGGAGACAAAGTGAAAAAAAGAGCCCTGGATCCTCATTTTGGTAGAAACATAAGTCTTCTAGACACTCAGCCCTCTCCAGATGGAGCTACTCAGGGTTTGGATTGGTCTATAGTATCTAATGAAATTCTAGCCCTATTATATGACATTACATTTTAATGACTGTTCAGATTACTGTATGTACCCCCAAAATAATACAATTTCATTTATCTTTAAAAAATACTCCATAACTTTTTTTATCTTCTTTCCAACTGATGAAATTTTATGGTGTCTGAAAGCTATATTGATAAAGATGGTAATGTATCCAGATATTAATGATCTGATCATTTTTATGAGGAAATCTGGCAACTAGCCCAAGGCTTTTATTATATTGACAAAAAATTAGTCTAAGAGTGAAACAACTGTGGCAAAAAATAAACTGGGGAGTTCCATGAAACTAGTATAATGTTTTACTTTGATTTATGTTACAGGAGGGCTTTTATTCCTGTGAGGCATTCCTGTATAAGAGCCTTCCTCTCTGGGATGGCCTCTGTTGTCGGTCACAGTTCCTTCAACTTGTGAGCTGGATTCCTTTTAGTAACTTCTCTGGTATGTTTCATGAAAATTTGAGGCTGTTTAATATAGTGTAATATTTATTAAAAGAATTTTTAATAATCTTATTCTTTTAATTTCTAGAGTTGAAACCACTTCTTTTTGACCATCTAGCACACCTCTTCTTTACATCAACTATTTTTTTCAAGGTAATTTAAAAAAAAAACTATCTTACTTAGATTCAAATAGGAACTTTTTTTTTTTAATTATTGTAATTTAGATGAAGGTTTACAGAACAAAATAGCTTCTCATTAAACAATTAGTGCACATATTGTTTTGTGACATTGGTTACCAACCCCATGACATGTCAACACTCTCCCTTCTCGACCTTGGGTTCTCAATCACCAGCTTTCCTGTCCCTTCCTGCCTTCTAGTTCAAATAGGAAGTTTTAATTCTACTGCCAGTGTTAGGTAATTCCAAACCCACATTATAGCAGTGGTTTTCTAACAGGATTCTTTCGGACCTGGATTTTGAGGTGTTGTATCACTCAACTCAAATATTAGTGGGGTTTGGTCTCAACTCAAATATTAGTGGGGTTTTGTTCATTCACTTCCCACTGGAACTCCTCTCCAAGAGTTAACGAATGCATACAATTTTCCCAGTTTTTAAGTTTTTCTCCCATACAACTACCCTGAACTGTTTCCACTTGTAGCAGATGAGAAAGTGAATGAACAGGTGGCAGACACATATTAATAAAAACAAACTGGCAAATACTTAGTCATACTTAGTTTGATTGTTGTGATTTGTATTGTTGTGGACATGCAAAATATTTATTGAGCACACACTATATGCTAGGCACTTTTCTTGGCACCGGTAGTACAGTAGTGACCAAAGCATACAAAACTCCCTGTGACTTTCATATTGTATAGCTATATGTATACATTTATTGTATATGTATATACATACATGCATACACAATATATAAACTGTATATACACTTAATACAATCATTTCCTGTTCCAACTTTATATGGGGGAATTGTGTTACTATTTTGGGATGTTCTCTAAAAAGGACTACTATGGCTCCTAGGAGTTCTACTATCTGAATGAGTTAGAGAGCCACTTTCTTATAGAATGATTATTCCTTTTCCAAAAGAATGACGGTGTAAGTAATGTTTCTTTTATTTCACTTTAAATCACTTAGCCTTGGCTACATTTACAGGAAAAATATCTTGTCCTGTTTTGTGTTTGTCATAATTAAATGATACTTTTATTAACCACCCATCACATTAACCTGGCTTTGAGATTTATTTATATTACTTGTAACTTTTACTATCTGGCCAATATCATCATTCACATGAAAGTGTACACTAATTCTTCTCAGAGAATACATTTTTAGACACTTCATTTTTAAGTTTTTTGTGATTCTCTTCCAATCTTCTGATTGGTTATTCGTTATTTCTTTTCTTATTCCACCAACCTAGAGAGCTATTTATCTGTAAGTATTCAGTTGAACCATATGAAAGTGCCATTTTTGTAGATCAGAAATGATTGAGAATTGGCACTTTCATATGATTCAACCTAATATGTGTAGACACATTTGTACACACATCTATTTGTATCTAGGGAAGAAGGGGAGTAGGGAGGGAGGAAGGGGAACAGATGGGGCCAAGGACGTAACTCGGGAATACTTAGTATTTAATACTCAGCTTGTAAAGGAGGAGAGTCTACAAAGGAACCTTAAGAAGGAATTGCTAAGAGGAACGGAAAAGAACCAGGGGAACGGTAGTGCCAGGGAAATAAGGGGGAATAAAGGATATGAAGGAGTGAAAGAACAATGTCAAATGCCACAGGAAGGGCCAGAAAGATAATGACAAAATCTTTTGAAATTGGTAATACAGAAATTTTAGCTACATTTGTGAGCAGTTTTTCTAGAGTATGAGGTAGAAGCCAGATTGAGGAGTGTATGAGAAGTGAAGAAGTCAAGACAGTGGGTATAGACTATCTTTCAAGAAGTTTGGCTGTAAAGAAGAGATAGAGAGAGGTAGCTATAATGGGACTTTGAATCACGGGAAGGTTTTTTGTTTGTTTTGCCCTCATAACAAGCATGTTTATGGAAGGAGCCAGTTGAAGATGGAGGAAAGATGGGGGATAATTGATGATGTAATGTTCTAGAAGAAACACAAAGAAATTGTATTAAGGCTATAGATAGAGGGATTTGTTTGGATGGCGAGGACTTGGGGGTACCACTTATCCTCTAAGACTTGGGGGAAGGAGGTATGAATAGATGGATATTTAGATATATTTGAATAGTTGGGGGAAAGGACAAGAAATTGAAATACTTTGTGCCTAAAAATGTTGTTTCTCAAAATAGGAAGGGTGTCGTAGAGTATAGAATTGAGTAGGGAGCTTCAGGAGGGTGTTAAGTGTGTAGGACCGCCACTGAGAGAAATGGGAGAGAGAGCTGGTCGAAGATAATTGAAGGATTATTAAGCTTCGTAAGGGCTCAGCTGAAGTTGGAGACCATATATTTGGAGTGGCACCAATCTGTACAGTTGTACGTTTTTCTTCAGCTCAGATGTAGAAGCAGAGAAAGCAAGCTATAAGATAGCATCAGTTGCAGTTTTACTGATTGGTTGGAGTGCAAGGGAGTTGAGTATGATTAGCAGTGTGGTCTAGTCTAGGTAGGGAAGTAAGGCCAAAAACATACTGATAAACCTGAAAATGGAGTTTAAAAATGAAAGAATCAGAAATTTAAATGTCTGAGGTTGGAGAGTAATTTTAGTAGGAGTTGAGGGTGTGAGGAAGCTGGAAGGATGGGAAGTTATAACAAAGAAAGTATAATAGAGTAGATTTTAGTGATGGTTCAATCCAGGTTATGATAAAGTCTCTTGTATGGCTGTGGGAGTGGGTAACTAAAGTATAGTGAAGGTTTGAGGTCACGGAACTCTGAAGCTAAAATGTTGGGTTGGTCATCCTCACGGACACTGACATAACTGAGGTGTTGATGACAGGACATGAGGTAGAGAGTGTTAAAGTCCTCAGTGAACGTGGATGAGTTTCCAGGAGGTGGGTAACAGAGGTATGGGAAGATAAAAAGTAGAAGATAGTATAATTGGGTAGTATAGTATAAACACTGAAGGAAGAATGTTTTTCTTTTTTTAACATAGGAAGGAGAGGTAATGGTTTAGAAATAGTATTAAAGGTAACTTTTGTGTTTAGGTTCATAAGCTGTCAGCACTTTTATTAGGACAGTGCAGAGGGGACGTGCACAGAGCAAGCTGGGATGTCAAATACCAGATGTTCGGCTGAGTTTTTATAGAATGTGAAGCAAAGGGTACAGCTCAAGATAGGACAGGTGAAAGAAAAAAACTTAGTTCACTGTGAGTTTATTTACATTTTAAGTGTTATCAGTGGGGCAGTTTATGAATTGTTATAATACCACATTAGCCATATTTGTAAAGACAACCTGCAATTATTCAAACATGTTTCACAAACCTTGAAGTCCACCTGAATATAGGAGTTAGGACTTAAATTTTTCAAAAGATAAAGATAGATTCTGTACACATATTTAGAGAACGTATCTCCTTAGACTTTGGATGTCAGAAGACCAAGGAATAGTCAAACTCATGAGAAAAACTATAGCAAAATGCAGTCTAAAGTGGGGGTCTTTGAACTTAACATAACAAATCCAGCTAATGTTAACATATTTAGCTGATGAGATTCTATAGCTCATAAGATATTTGTAAATATTCTAAAACAAGGCAGTTTATTCTGTGACACCTGATTAAATAGAAGGTCCATTTGATTTCTTTATCTTTTTGATTAAAGCTGATTCCCCTTTATATATATATGTTTTATTTATTTTGTTGTTGAGAATATACACAGTAAAACATACATCAATTCAACAGTTTCTACATGTACAATGTGACATTGATTACATTCTTCAAGTTGTGCAACCGTTCTCACCCTCCTTTTCTGAGTTATTCCCCCATTAGCATAAATTCACTCCCCCCAAGGTTATTGTCTAATCTTTCAAGTTGCTGTTGTCAATTTGATCCCATATAGATAGTTCTTAAAAGAGCATAATGCTCAAGGCAGACATTCTTTACTAGTTAAGCTAAATTGTTTGGTTTTAAGAAGACTTAAGGGGATATTTTTGGTTTAAGGTTTAAAGATTATCTCAGGGCAATAGTTTTCAGGGGTTCATCCAACCTTCATGGCTCCAGGAAATCTGGAGCCCATGAAAATTTGAAGCTCTGTTCTGCATTTTCCCTCTTTTTATCAGAATTCATCTACAGAATCTTTGATCAAGCTGTTCAGTAATAGTAGCCGGGCACCATCTAGTTCTTCTGGTCTCATGGCAGAGGAGGCAGTTGTTCATGGAGGCAATTAGCCACACATTCCATATCCTCCTCCTAGTCCTGTTGCTCCTTGTTCCTTTGTTGCTCCAGTGAATAGAGACCAAGTATTGTGCCTTGGAAGGCCGCTGGAGCCCTGGTAGCACAGTGGTTAAATGTTCAGCTGCTAAACAAAAGGTCGGCAGTTGAATCCACCAGCCATTCCTTGGAAACCCTGTGAGGCAGTTCTAATCTGTCCTATAGGGTCGCTGTGAGTTGGAATCGACTCAGTGGTGATGGGTTTTTGGTTTGGATGGCCGCTTGCAGGTTTTTAAGACCCTAGGCACTTCACAACCAACTAGAAGGTAGAACAGAAGCACTAACCATGTTATTAGACCAAATAACTGGAACGTCCCATGAAACCATGACTCTAAACCTCCAAACCAAGGAACCAAATTCCATGAGGTGTTTGGTTGTACGTAAGTAGCCTCAGTAGCTACTCTTGTTGTTGCTGTTGTAAATATGTCTGTCACACAACTTTTGCCAATTCAATTTTTTATAGCTGTACAACTTATTGAGAGCTATTACAATAATTGGTGGTGCAACCCTACCCTTAATCAATACAATATTTCCATCACTGTTAACCCCCCATTTTCACCTCCCTCCCGCCCCTGGTAACCACTAATAAACTTTGTTGTCTATACATTTACCTATTTTCTTTTTATATAAGTGAGGTCATGCAATATTTGTCCTTTTGTGATTGACTTATTTTACTCAGCATAATGTCTTCTAGCTCCATCCATATTATAGCATGTATCAAGACTTCATTTCTCCTACTGGCAGAGTAGTATTCAATTGTATGTGTATAGCACATTTTGTTTATCCATTCATCTGTTAATAGGCATTTAGGTTGTTTCCACCTTTTGGCAATTGTGAGTAGTTCTATAATGACCATTGTTGTATAAGTCTCTGAGTCTCTGCTTTCAAGTCTTCTGGGTATATACCTAGAAGTGGAATTGCTGGGTCTTATGGTAGTTCTATTTTTAGTTTTTTGAGGAACCACCACACTGTTTCCACAACGGCTGTACCATTTTGCATTCCCACCAGCAATGGGTAAGGGTTCCAATTTCTCCACATCCTCGCCAACATTTGTTGTTTTCCATTTTTTTTATCTTTGCCATCCTAGTGGGAGTGAAATGGTATCTCATTGTGGTTTTGATTTGCATCTCTCTGATGACTAATGATGCTGGGCATCTTTTCATATATTTAGTGGCCATTTTAATGTCCTCTTTGGTGAAATGTCTGTTCAAGTCCTTTGCCCATTTCATGATTGGGTTGTCTTTCTGTTGTTGAATTGTTGAAGTTTTATATATATTTTGGTTATTTGATTCTTCTCAGGTACGTGGTTTCTGAAGATATTCTCCCAGTCGATAGCTTGTCTTTTCACTTTTTTGGCAACGTCTTTAGATGAACAAAAGTTTTCAATTTTTATGATGTCCTATCTATTTTTTATATTTTTAATGGCACCATAGTCCATCGGTATTGTACCATAATCTATTTTATCATTTCTAATTTGTTTGTATTGTAGGTATACATAACTATATTGAGCATCTTCATAATACAGATATTTTTCTTCTGTTACATTATTCTCTTGGGATACTTTTCCAGAATTATATTACTAGATGAAAGGAAGGGTTTGAACATTTTTATGACCTTAATACATAACTGCTATTCCTTTGCAACAGGCATATTCAGTGCAAGTTCTTGGAAGGAAGAGGGCTATAATGGATGGAGTACTTCCATAACAAGAGTCTAACAGCCATGGTGAAAGAATTGGGGTCTGGGAGATGACAAAACTATAGGAATGGAGACCAACTAGGAGGATAAAGTAATCTCAGAGGTGTGAATGCCTGGTCTAGGGTAGTTATAGTGGGATTGGGAAGGAAATGGATAAGTTGGATAGTATGAAGGGAAAAATTGATAGGACTTGGTGACTGGATGTAAAGCATAAAGGACACAAAATGACTTCAAGATTTCTAGCTTGGGACAGTAAAGGACCAAGGATGTTTTGCCTGGAGGAAAAAGACTAATATTTTCTGGTTTCTTTCAAATATTTGAAAGGTTGCCACATGGAAGAAATAGATCTCTGTTTGGCTACAGGAGAACGAATTAGATAAAGGACAGTATCTTATAACAGGTAGTGCAGTCTCAAAATGGAATCAAAGACCTTAAGAGGTAGTCTGTTTGTTGACAGTGGAGTAAGTCAAGCAGAGGTTTACTGGCTGTCTCCTGGGATATTTATGTAGAGAAAGTTCACACATAGAGTAGGGCCGTGCTTCTCCACCTTTTTATTTTTTTTTTTAAACTCATATCCTCCTTCTCATAAGCATAAAAATCTCATGCCTTCATTTAATGTGGGGGCCGAGTGGGATAGAGTTAAGTAGATGAGGAATTAAAGACTTTTGTTCTCTAAATATAACATTGTAATATTGAATACCTTCTCAAATGATAAAATTCCCAATTGATACCCAAGCAGAGGATTGTTTTAGATGACTCCAAGGTTGCTTTCAACTTGGACATATTTATAACCTGAATGTGAGTTGTCAATTTCTGACAAATATTAATAGAACTGTTCTGTGAAGTAGCAGTGAGCACCGTATCACTGGAAATACTCAAGCAGTATCTGGGCTATTATTTTTTAAGGGTGTTTGAGAAAGGATGTTTTGGGATAATATGGATTGCTTTCAAATTTATAGGTATAATTTCCCATCATAAATGTCCCAGATAAAATTTCTATCATGACTATATATTTTGTATGTGAATCAGACCCTGGGAAATCAAGGTAGGGCCTGAGAAAGGAAACACTAGAATTGTTTTTTTTCCATAATCATAGATGATAAGATAAATTTTATGACTGTTGAAAAGGGAGTAAATTTTATTTGTAAACCAGAAGGAGAGAAGGATGGGAAACACCTACCTGTAGCAACTTTAAAGGATCTTTGAGAGGGGACAGTAAGGAGTAGATGATGCTGTATTTGATGATGCCATATATGTCATAAATGAATGTAATTTAGAGAAACAAAAGTTTGTTCTTAAGTTGATAGTTAGGGGTGGTACTGTAGAGGTGTGTTTCTTGTAGAGAAAATGGCAGTGTAAACTTGTTCCTGCATTCATCTATCTCCTGGAGACTGATCATAGTGGAGCAACAGCTGTTAGGTTCTAAATTGGATGAGGGTGTCTTCACGGTCACTTCCACCTCTAAGCCTCTGATTTAGTCTGTTAGTTCTGAATAGCATGTTATGACCGAATGATTTTACGAATGTTTTTTTGTGTTGCCCCCTCAGTGTAGTCTTCTTCAGAGTCTGAAAGAGTTACTGCAGAATTGGCTGTTGTGGCTTTCTATGGACATCCACATGAAACCTGTGCTGAAGAGTCCTCTGTGAGTTATCTTCCAACCCTCCACAAGAAATGATCTGTACAAAACGTTTCCATAAGGAATTTTATAGTGTGATATGAAGCCTAATTATTCATGTTAATGCTTAGTAGTACTTTTCTGAAAGATTTTTTTTGGTTACTTTTTATTCTCTTTCCCCACGATGCTGTGAGGAAGGTTTATTCTCCTAGTTCTTTTCTATAAGTCAGAAGGCAACCCCTTAGCCTCTAAGTGACTTGCAAGAGTTAATATAGCAAAACATTGGATAGCTGAGATTAGAACTTGCTACTTCGACTTCTGTGTAGTTCAGCTCACTTTATAAAACGAATTCTTACATTTAAAGCCAGTTTTGATGATGATTAGAAAATCTCTAAGGTAATTTTGCTGTATAGTTTTGTTTTTATGATCCTCTGATATATTTTGGTTATATGCATTAATTTATTTTGCCTTTTGAATAAAAAAGTGCCCTAAATGTCTATTATGTTGAATATTATTAAATGTGTGCTTTACCCTCAAAGTAAACGTCTGAATTTTGAGGCACTGCATAATCAGGTTGTTTTGACTCCTTACCTAAATTCTTTGGCTTCTATATTCTATTATCAGCCACATTATATTTTAGCACTGATTTTAACTTTATATTATGGAAAATTGAAAACATAATCAAAAATAGAACAGTATAGTGTTACTCCTCCCATTGTTCAGCTTCAAAAGTTATCAACCCATGCTTACTCTTTTTTCATCTGTAACAACCCCACCTTTCTCCTGCTCCCTGCTGGATTATTATTAAGCAAAACTCAGACATTTCAACTATAAAAAATGGTAACATTATGATACCTAAAAATTAATAGCTCTTAATATCATCAAATATCTAATCAATGTTCAAATTCCCTATATCGTCAGCCACATCTTATTTTATAGTTATAACATAAGGATTCCTTAGCTTCAGTTGTAAATAGTTGGTGGTTAGTTTGGTTAAAGATTAGCCCAGACCCATTTTTCTGTGTGTTCTCTTTCTTATGGTGATCTACTTTGGTAGGAGAATGGGGAATAGAAGCTTTATGAGGGTAGCCTGGAAAATTTTTTTTAATTCTTCGTATTCACTATTACAATGCTGCCATGTATGTCTGATCACTTCTAGAAGGAAATAGAGAGTTAGTGGGTAGTGAATGCATCTTATAAAGCTGTGGTTCTCAAAGTGTTACCTCTGGACCAACATCAGCAGCAATACTTGGGAACTTGTTAGAAATGCAAATTCTCAGGTCATATCCAAGACCTATTAAATTAAACTATACAAGTGGGGCCCAGTAATCTGTGTTTTAACAAAAGCTTCAGGTAATTGTAGTGCAAGCTAAAGTTTGAGAACCGCTATGGTAAAGAAATTCCGTTTAAATGCTTAACCTCTTCCAACTAAATTCGATTAAGAATAGTATGTTTGCATCTACAATCTTCAGCCACCTTGCAATTTACATCTTAGGCACTCCTGAAATAGATCACTTATGATTTCTATATTTTCTTTCCAAAAATCCTGGGTCTTTCTTTTATTAGTGATATAAATTTGGGAGGGAGCATTTAAAAAAAGGAGCTCTGCTTTATAAAATTCATGAAACAAGTGACAAAAATGTAGAAAACTTTGCTTATCATAATATTACTTGACATTATATAATATAGCTCTTAAGTTCTGAATCATTTCTTCTGTTTTGGCGGTATGGTTGTAATGCTGTGTCTCCCATAGTGGTTCTCCAGGGAGCTTTTTTGGTTTTCACAGTGACTGGGAAGGGATGCTACCATCATTTTGTAGGTGGGAGCCAGGAATGCTAAAGGTACTATATAGTGGATGGTTATAAGAGGCAGTCCTGAACGGTAGATTATTTCATCCAAAATGCTAATAGAGTTCTCTGGAGAAAAACTTTAAAAGAAGCTGTTCTACTAACTTGAAATGTAAACTTTCACTTAAACTACATCAATAAACAAAAATAAACAAACAAAAAGAGACTATTCTGAGCAATCACCATTATTTCAAATTATTTAAGATACATTTGCTAAGTGCTGCCAAAAATCATAGTTAAATTAAGTTTTACAAATAGTCAGCTGATTATATGGATGCCCACCTATTTGAATGGTCTCTTAATCCTTCCCTGCTTGCTCTGACGCTGAACCATCATGGTGATGGGCAGTGGTAGAATCATCATTTCAAAGCTCTAAGACTACATATCATTTATTTTTCCTTGTGCATAACCATTGTTAGCTACCTAGACAGGACGGTAAAGTTATGAAGTCTGTACGTGCATCTTTTTCTAGTTCACTTAACAGTGGCTTGAAGAAGAATAGGGGTGAGTAGATGGATGGATTGAACCAATTATACCCATGTCTGGTCTAAAGATACTTATCACTGATTTTGGAAGAATATAAAATACCCAGATTTAGTTTTTACTAGAAGAATAAAAGATGCCAAAAATTATACTAATTTAGTTTTAGGACTGAATTGAATTCCAGTCAAATTAGAGTGAAAATATTTTAGCATTTTATTTTCTTTAATTGGAACATTTTAGCTCAGGAATGCAGGCAAAACTGAGTTTTGATTTGTGTACTTTAAGTTTTCAGTAAATGTGCTGCAATGTTACTGACATCATAGGCAACAATTCCCAAACTCATTGTAATGTTTATACTTTTAAACCAGTGTGTGGTTTGGTTGAGATTAATTAGTTCTCATTTTTTCTACTTTATTATTTTGTCCATTTTCAGATTTTATTCTGAGTTTTTTATGTCACCCACCTTGTTATGAACTCTTTTTTCCCCTTACTTTGTTTTTTTTCCCCCCTCACTTTGTAATGAAATACCCATTTTCTAGTGGCTTTTATACTGTCACTCAAGGATTTCCATAATTGAGGAGTGTTAGAGTTCAATTACTAGGCACTAATAATATTCTGACTGCTATGATCCCTGGACACTGGTAAGATTATCTAAAGTCTGTGTACAGATTAATCCTTTCTTTCTGTGGTATTTGCTAGTTGGGTTGCCGAGAATGTTTCTATGACTTGATCTTATTGGTTCCCTAGAGGGCTAAATGTAGTTTTAAGCTTAATCACTGTGGCTTAAAAAAGAAAATGAATTATACACTGGAGCACTGACAGGAGTTTTCTGAAACACCTATCAACCTTTTGCTATATAATATCCAGCTTTAGCTTGGAAATTGTGGACAGTTTTGCTGATATTGATCTGAAAGTCATGTTTTCTTATTGCAGAGAGACAACTTTAGGTGGATCCATGAACTCTGTGTCTAAACTGATTCACTATGTAGGGTGGCTGTCCACTAATGCAGTGCGCTTGGAGAGCAACAGTACTTTCTTGCTGCACTTTATTTTGGATTTCTATGAGAAGGTACTACATATCCAATTTTTCCCTATTTAGATTTTTGGGATGGCTGTCTGTTTTAGTGGCCTATTATTTAAATTTTATGTATAACTGTTAAGTTGGCTATGACCTTAATTAGCATATTAAAATAAGATACACTTTAAGATGATTGTATTCTCACCTGAATAACTGACTTTCATAAAACAAAGTGGAAAAGCAAATGCTTTTTTAAAAAAAGTTTTGTCCATGTACCACTGTAATAGACATTCATCTATAATAATGTAATAATGCTAGCCCTAGACAGGAGTCTGTCTCTGGTGTCATTTTTTGGTCATCCATTGTATATCCCTAACCCTTGGCAAAAACCAAAAACACCATCTTGTTTCTTCAGATCTCCACTCCCACCTTTCAGCTGCCTTACGTTTCCCACTACCTGGTATCTTTATGATTCTGGGCCTCTTCTGTTGTCTTTATGATGTTCTACCTGGACAGAACTATTATCCAGGAAGTACCCACTAATCTCAATTTTCCTGGTTTCTTCCCTTCACAAATACCTAGTTGTCTTGTATTATAGATGCTTAGAAGCATGTTCCTTTGTCTTCCGGATTGACTACTATGATAAATAAGCTAACTAATATGATAAATAAGTGTTTATGGAACGTAAGGAAAAAGAAATGCTTCTTTTTTTCTACTGTGTCTCCCTAACTCTAAACCTTCTCCCCAGAAAAATATTGAAGATTTTAATAATGCTCTTCTAGAAATAATGCTCTGTGGTAAAGGCTGGTGATTGCTAAGGTTTGTGTGTGTGCGTGTGTGTGCGCGCGCGCGCGCGCGCGTCTAGTTTTTACTGAGGTATATTTTTAAACAGGTTTATGGCTATTTATTCTATTTATGAATTAGGCAGGTCCTAACCTAATGTAATGTTGCTGGTTATCTTACACTTATGATTCTTTAGGTGAACCTGGTTGAGGGATTCTGGGGAATAATCTATATACTAATATACTGTATACTAATGTTATCATTCTTCCCTAAAGGTATGTGACATATATATAAATTACAACCTTCCATTAGTGGTGTTGTTTCCTCCTGGAGTCTTCTATCCCGCCCTCTTCAGCCTGGATTCCAGTATTTTGAACCAACTCTGTTACATTATGCACAGGTATAAATTTAGCCTTTTTACCATTCATAGAATCAGTACATGATAATTTTATCTGCATTTTTCAACTGTAATACAATACAAATTCCTAGTAATTCCTGCCAAAACCTATGGAAATAGAAAAGATGGCTTTATTTTGGATGATCTTCCCATGTGGGGCTATGATAGCTGTATCATTTTTAAAATGTCACTCTGGGGAATATGGAATAAACAAATTCATAGTTAAGGACTTTTTGCTATACTCAGCATTGTTAATTATAATAGTTGTGTATTATAGAAAAATTAGTCATTTGTTGACAGCTGATTTCGGTCTATGTAGCTTCTCTAATAGGAAGACATTAAAAGCATTTCCTTCATTGCTTTTTCTTTTTTATTTACATAACAATCAGGTGCACATCTTAAATGTCCAATTCAGTTTTGAGCCTCTGTTAATTTTTGTTCTTTGAGGAGAATATACCACAAAAGGATAAAAACCTTAACTAGACAGCCGGACAGCTGAATAT